TCGAATTTATCCTAATATTGAAACTCTTGGAATAGAACTTCAAACCCTTAGATTTTGTTCAAAAGAAATTTTTCGTATAAAAAATTATCAAATATTTGCTAAAGGAGTTCTTGAAGAAATTGATTTTATAAATTTAGAGAAGATTCAATCAAGAATTGTTTGGTATAAAGGTAATAGCGAAGGAATCAATAATAAAATGAATAATCTAAGATCTATGATTCTTACTGATTGCACCCACTTGAAAAGAATCCTTTGTAGTGTTCAGTTTCTTAGAAAATTAGAAAAGGTACAAATTCGATGTGAGAGGAGGGAGGCTTGTGAGGTAATTTCTATGGTTGAAAACTTATATCAAGATGTAATGGTAATTGTTAAACATGCAAGTAAAGATTTAAGAGGAAGGGTAAGTATTTGTGGTTGTGGTGTTCTTGGTAATGGAAAAGATCTAATAAATTTATTAGATGAGTCTCATTACTACCAATTTAATGAAAAGGCATTAAAACCAAAGAATATAAAAATTATCCAATCACTATATCTTCCTCTTAATTTATCTTTTCATGGAACCCATGAGTTAAATGAAGAGATTAATGCAGACCTCACAATTCTTACTAGTTTGACTCGACTTCAACTATTCTATATTCAAGGAATTATTAATCTACCAAAGACCTTACAAATTTTTATTGTTAAGTCAAGTAATATTCAAATTAGTAATATCCAATCTTGCAATCTTAAGAGTCTTGTAATTGAAAGATCAACTTGTCCATTCCCATTTTCTCTTCCATCAAGTATCACATCTTTACATCTTAGTGATATACAAATTCAAACTATTTCAAACTTTGATGAATTAACACTTATTGATTTATCACTTATTAATTGCCGATCACAGAACTCATTAAATTTACCTACTACCCTTCGTTCTTTAGAATTGGATTCATGCCCATTTCCTATTAATATTAATGACGAAGTTAATGTACTTATTTTAGACAATTTTAATATTATTTCTCAAATTCATTTTCCTCATTCTTTGACTAGACTTGAATTAGGAAGTGCAAGAGAATTTACCCCTGAACTCTCTCGTTGCCATTTGAAAGATTTAAAACTATTTGATTGTGAAAACATTCCATTATCTCTTATTCCTGTTTCTGTTACTTCATTTGGTATTTATGATTCTTTACATCTTCCAAAAAGACTTGATTTATGTGATTTTTTCTTCACATCAATAGAAATCTCTTTATGTCCAAGCATTCATTCTATTTCATTTCCTTCTTCAATTTGTTCGATTTATCTTGAGTCATGTCGTGGACTGACATCAATAAGTCTTTCAAATTCTCTACAACTTACACAACTTTCTTTAGTTGATTGCACTTCACTTACTCGTTTGAACGATATTCCAACATCCATTCAATCTCTCTATTTCTCAAAATGTCATTCATTAACTGAAATCAAAGATTTAGATCAATTGCCATTATTACCTCAATTTATAAAAGATAAATGTCACAAAATATTCAACTGTAATATAGAAAAGGACGGTCAGTCATTCTCATGTTCTCAATCAGAGCAATAATACTTTGTATTAGATAGTTTTGTTTTCTATAAGAAGTCTGGTTTGTTCTTTTTAACAAATAAAATGCATTTAAAATTAATTAACATAAACAATTACATTGAATAATTAGTCAATCAATCATTCAATTATTAACTCATCTATAAGCAGATGTTAATTTATCTAATTCTTTCATTACATATTCAAATGTTTTCATAATCTCTTTCTTCTGTTGATTTAATTCTTCATCTTTTGAGTTGAATCCATATATTTCTTTAGCATATTTTTGTTCATAAATTTCACCTAATCCAAGTTTACTTTTTTCTCCATCAAGTTCAATTTCTTTTTTCTCTTTCTTTTGGACTAATGTTTTTCTAACAACATCATCCCAACTTTGTTCTTTTATTCTTCGTCTGATGAGATCTTCTAAACTTAATGTCTGTTCTTTGGTCATTGGAGGTGGTGGTCTATTAGTATTTTGGAAGTCAATTTCAAGGTCAACTAAACTATCAACTGGTCTTTCTTCTCCTTTAACTTCACCTAACATACTCCAATGTTTTTCTTTCATATTTTCTTCTTCCAACTTAGTAATTTTATTTTTAATGATTTCTTGTTGTTTTTCAAATTCATTCTTTGGTTCTTTTTGAATTTCTTCATTGTCATCATCTTGTTCAAATCCTTCAATTGGTTGATGCTCTTCAATACTGTCATTGTTTTCTTCACTCATTTCATTTTCCTCATTACTGTCTTCTTCTTTGTCAACAACCTCATCCAAATCTCCATCTCCAAGTTCAAAATTATCCATCTCATCTATGGCTTGATTCATTTTATCCATATCAATTTCTTCATCCATATAACTTAAATCTTCTTTTTCACTATCTTCACTTTTTTCTTTTTCATTATCTTCTTCTATTTCAACAGGTTTAATGGTATCAAGTTTTTTCTCTATTTTTTTTTGAATTCCTTTAATCTTTGCTAAATTTTGTTGATTAAATTCGTTGATTTGATAATAAATTTGTTCATCTGTGAAATTATCAATGATAATACCATTAATACCATAGTCTACACATTACCTTTTCCTCTTTTGATAAATGACAATTAAATATATGAATATTGAAACAAACATTGTAATATAAATTTTAATGCATCTCTTATTTTTTGTTGTATTGGAGTAGACACATTTGGAAAAATAGTTGTTGGGTTTTGATGAATCTGACTAAGTAATTGATGAACTTGTTGTGTCTTTTCGATTGACATGATACAATTAATATTTTTTATTTCTTTAATAACCCTATTTCCCTATTATTTCGTTCTTTTCCCAACTTTTTTCTAGTTTCTTTCACTTTTATTGAAAAACAATTTTGAAAGAATAACAAAA